GATCTGCGTCTCTGACTGCATTGGAGCTAACCTGGGAACACTTGTACATAGAGCTATGCACTGATATTTTGTAGTCTAGTGCAGTTATTAGCAATCCAAGAAGAACTTATAATCTGCTGCTTCAATAAAACAGACCATTCATGACTCCACAACCATGAAATTTCTTATTCAACATGACCAGACTTTAGTGCCTATCTGGTTATAAATGAGAAATTAATCCTATCTGCACCCAGCCCATCTGATCTCTGAGGACTAGCTAGAAAGCAAGGGGTTTTATTTCCTGACCATACTTACCACAACAGGCCTGACCTCCAAGAAAGGTAAGTCAAAAAGAGTCAACCATACAAATTGTCATGGTTGATGGTATAAACAATCTGGTCTTACTAATGCACTCTCCTATTCTGTAAACTTAAGTGAACATCTGAAAGTGAAATTTGTAGGACTACTGTCAGACTACCCAACTTTACCTGAAATCTCCATCAGAATAGCAGGACAAATCACAAACTAAGTGGTACCCTGAGAAGGTGGTGATGTGAGAATCCATACCACCCCACTCACATACCCAACACCCACCCTTTGAAACAGACCACAGTCAAAACAGAACATTCACAAACTTTTAAAGAATGGAATTCTTCTGCAAAAGCCTTCACTCAAATGTTCTTTGAACTTTCCAAGAGCCACACCACATAGAATAGCCTAACATACACCTCTGGACCTACTTCACTCAATCCCCTGCCCAAAAAATAACTCATTTCAAAGTCAGATCAGGTTGTTAAGGGACTTGTTCAGTCAAGTATTTAATATCTCCAAAGATGGGAGATCCCATAGTCTCCCTACACAGTCTGCCTTCACCAAACACACCTACTGTGATACCTTTTTTTTTTTTTTTTGTCTTCGCTCCAGCTGGAACGTTCCCTTCTGAAACTTCAGTGTGCAGCTCTAAGTGAAGTCTGGCATTTCTAATATCAGGAGAGTCTGAGTTAGCAAGTAAATTGTACAGTGAAGGTATATTATACACTTGAGCCAACCTGACAGCTCACCACTAGCAGGTGCAGAGCAGCTCTGTACGTGTCCAAAAATCTAATTTCAGTGCCCCTGTGCTAGCCCTGCAACCTAAATGGCTGCACAGATAGCCAATACATCTTGCTAACCTGACAGAAATCCATTCCCTTGTTTAATTCCTATGTCATCTCAGCAATATTAATATCTTCTGCACAGAGTCACAAGGGAGAAAGCAAAGCTGCAGGTAAGAACAGAGCATGTCTTTTTGGAGAGAGGTGGGGTAAACAAGCAATAACCTGTGAATTTACATTTAGATGTCAGAGAATACCATATGCTAGAAAATTTTAACCTGCCTTAATAAACTCTCAGCAATAACTAGATGGTGTTCGGCAAGTTTCCTACTTCATCCTCTCACTTCTGGGATGAAATTTACATTTCTTTCCTTAATAATACAAGCAATGTCTTCAATAACCCACGAAAACAGCTATTAAAACAGTGCTTAACTAGAACTAATTATATTTGGCATTAATTACCACCTCAGCTAAACAGAACATAACAGAGAGGAGATACATGGTCAGGGGACACCATGCCAGTAGGAAATAGAGAAGGAGTAAATTAATTCAGTTCACACAGATGTTGGTGTATGGTTTTTACCAAGCAAATGTCACACAGGCCAAAGGTGGATATCAGCCTGTGGCACTGAGAAACTTCACAGCAAAGCACTAATCGAATCTTACTTCAGCTAAACACAACATAGCTTTACTAGAAAGGAATTACCATACCAAATTTTTATACTGCATATACTTTTACGCATATTAAAGAAAATTGTCACAGCACCAGCCTTCAAAGTCATATTTGGCAGCTAATGACAACATATGTTTCATCTTCTGTAACAATTCATCAATTTATACCAAATTCCAATCCTTTCTCAAATTAAGCCTTTTGAATGTGAACTACCATTGAAAGGCATTACTGGCAACACAAGAAAAGCCTTTCCAGCTGTAGAAAAGCATGCTGAGAGAAAAGATTGAATGTTTCCAGTTTTCAAACACGGCATGCCATGGTTTGTAAAGTCCTTAAAGATCAGCAGTTTAGGAGATCAGGACCTGGGCATGCTTTATCTGATATCTAAAAAAGTAATTTTTCAAAGGAAAACTCAACTAGCTCAGAGCAATGAAAAAAAAAATTATAAAAATACTTATCAAAGGTTTAGAGAGCTCACAGTAATCCATGCTTATCCTCAAGGAAAGTTAATTAAACACATTCAGATCTTTTTATTAGCACACCATTATTCTCCTCAAGGCTCAGTATTTCAGTTTGAAATCAAGACAAATATCAAATAAACCACCACCACTCCCTGCTCTGTGTTTTGAAATGCTGAAACACCTTTGGTGAATCCCTAGCCATCTGTATTTTGCAAGGATTGTCACTGTCTCAGCTGCAACAGACTGTCACAAGAAAACCTTGCTGAATCCCTCCATAGCTCCCTTCCCAGTTAAAACCTTCTGCCATCTATTGTCAGACCATTCACAGCTCTGCCCTTTCCCATTGTTTCAGGTGTGGCTCCACTGCAAGGTGCTGACCTTGACTCATGACCTCCAACACTAGCACCAGGTTATTCACCCTTCACACAAGTCCTCAGATTTTTACATAAATACCTATCTAAGTGATCCCAGCAGTTTGCTTGATCAGCTCACCTCTCCCATCCACCACACTTGTTGCCCTCATCCCCAAGCGGACCTTTAACCAAACAGTGCTGCCCTCTGGCTGAATGAAATTCAGATCATCACTGTGCACGTGCAGTCCTGAAACACAATTAGGCCCCTCTTTTTGCACAGTTGCTAGCAAGACAGAACAGGAGCAGAGTTCCTAACTCTTTCAGTCTCTGGGGTCTCATGTCCACCTTTGTGAAGCATCTGCTGAGCTGCACTCCTCTCCTGCATCTATCCAAAGACTCAATGATTGCTGAGACGGAACACAGGGCAATAACCCTAAACAGTCCTCACACCTCTTCCACAGCCAACCCTGCTTAAAGCCTGATTCTGGGTCCTCACCCTCATGGATCATTTTAATGAATATCTCTGTTTCACGCCATCTAACTAGTAAGATAAGAACCATCTAACTAGTTCTTCTCAGTTTACTGCTATGAAACTTCCAAAACCAGCTGTGGAAAAGAAATAAAAGAAGAAAAAGCTAAATACCACAACTCAGGTTTCATACTGTCAGAGGCTATAGGAAGGAAGGTAGAAATTCAGCAAGGAACCTAACATTCATGTGCTTGCAAGATGTATTTTTACCAGCAAGTTCAGCAACTATTCTTCAGCAGAAGCACAAACATTACCATAAGAGGCCTATGCCTTTTCACGGTATGAAGGTTTTACCTAATTCAACTCCACAGTTAGTTGCTTTTCCCTCTCTGTGCTAGGGAAACAATGCCCACACAAGTTACATTTAGTCTTCAAGCACAGATGCAAGACTTTGGAGATGCTGCTGCACATGCTATCCGTTTGATACTGAAAACTACTTTACCACCAGCTTCGTTCCACACGTTCTGTTACACAGTAATACTTGCTACCGGTTTTCCTTATGCAGTCAAACTCTCACAGTAATTACTGCATTTGTGTTATTTTTAAAACACAGACACACAGACCTTACTAGAACATCTAACAATCTACACAGACAAGTTTTGTAAAGCACACACAAATCAAAAGCAGCTCAAAGCTTGAAACCCATCACTGGTGGCATACTTTGTGAAGTATTCTTCTAAAAGGACTGGCACTTGCTGCCAAGCTATTTACCTTTACTTTCCTGCTTGGAAACACAGTCAGTGTTCTTCAGGCTTTGACTTGACAAGGAGTAACACGCATATTTTGATGGGATACCCACAAGTAAAGCTGATTACCTCTCACTTCACAGTCATGCTACTTCAGTGAGACATGAAAACACAATCATTCAGGCTCTGGCTATTGATTAATTATTGATACCAGAAAAACTCTGCTACTGTTTCTTTGATTCTTTTGGAACCCCATTAATAGCAACACCTTACAAAGTTTATTTCTGTCTGAATCACTTTTTTGGCAAGATAAATTCCGAGAGGAAGGCTTTCAGCTTGGCACGTACAGAAGATCTGCAACAAAGACCTTTAAACCATACCAGACAGCACAGAGCTTTTCATTCAAACAAGTCTTTTACAAAGATGCAAACCTAGGATGTTTTAACATCAATGGTCACTACCGGTATCCAGCTCCATCACACTCCCGATCTTTGCCATATGGGCTTTCCTTTCCAGGCAGTTATGAAAACAAGACACAGTCAGCAGGGACAGTTAACTGATAATTAAACAGATCGAGTGCGAAGTAACACTAATGGCTTTGCTTCAAGACGGCAGCACCGTGAGCCTCTGGCTCCCCGGTGCCCCTCCGCTTAAAGGAAAACTCTGGAACCGGATCGCGCCACTCCCGAGGCCGCTTCCCCGCCGCCCAGGGTGCCTCGCTGCCCCCGCTGGGCTGGGGACTGGCGCGACCTCCCTCCGTTTCCCCGCGGCCGCGGGAGGTGCCCGGGGCCCCGGCCCCGGGAGGGAGAGGGAGAGCTGCTCACTGGCAACTTCGGCGAGGGTCTGGGCGGCGGACGGCGGCGGTGCGGGGGCTGGGGGGACAGGCACCCGGCAGCCGGGGCGGGCAGCACGGGGCGCAGGCAACCGGCACAGCCTGCCCGGGGCGGCGGGGAGCGGGCGGCACATGGAGGAGCGGCGCGGCGTGGCCGGCCCGGCTGCGGAGCCACAGGGACGAGCCGGCGCGGCGGCGGAGGGACAGGAAGAGAGGGAGGGAGCCCGGCCGAAAGGGGAGCGGAACGGGGCGGCGGAGTCGGCGCGCCTCGGCGGGCTGCGCCCCGACCCCCGCGCCCGAGGGGAGAGGGCAGCAGGAACGGAGGCGGGGAGGGGAGAGAGGTCCGGCGCGGGCGCCCCTTCGGGGGCGAGGCGGCGCCGCCGCCCGCCTCACCATGAGCACTTTGGCCGCGTTCTCCAGCTGGGCGATCACCTCGGGGGCGCCCCCCGCCGCCGCGGCCGCCGCCGCCATCATGGTCTCTCTTCAATGACGCGCCATGCGCTGCATTCTGGGGCGAGGCGGCCGCGCGGCCAATCCCGGCCCGGCCCGGCCCCGCCGCGGAAGCGAAGCGGCGGCGCCGCCGCAGCACCGCGAGCGCCGGGCGGGGACAGCGCCCGCCCCGCGCGCCTCCCTCCGCCCGGCCCGGCCCGGCCCGGCCCGGCCCCTCAGGCCCCTCCCGGCCGCCGCCGGGGCGGGGCCCGCCCTCAGCGGAACCTCCCGAGCCGCGCAGCGGGGCCGCCGCCGGTCCGGGGCACCGCACTTGCTCGGCTCGCAGTTTGTTAGGGGTGGAAGGGGCCTCGGGAGATCATCCGGTCCAACTCCCCTACCAAGCCGGGGTCGCCTAGAGCAGGTTGCACAGGAACGTGTCCACGTGGGTTTGGAATGTCTCCAGAGAGGGAGGCTCCGTAACCACCCTGGACAGCCTGCTCCAGTGCTCTGCCACCCTCCATGGAAAGAAGTTCTTCCTCATGTTGAGGTGGAATCCGTTGTGTTCAAGTGCGGCCATTGCTCCTCGCCCTGTCGCTGGGCACCACTGAAAAGAGCCTGGCGCCGTCCTCTTGGCACCCTCCCTGCAGACTTGTATGCACTTCCTTGTCCTTCCCAATGAGCTCAGGTGCCAGCGGCCGCAGGCGCTGGTTGTTGGCAATCCCTTGTGCATTGCAGTGCTTGCAGATCTGTGGTGGGATGAGAAGCTGAGTTTATAAAATACAGCTTAGAAAGTGGTGGGGACGGGAGAGGGTGGTATGATCTGGTTTACAGCAGATTAAAAAAAAACCAAAAAAGCACCCCAAAACCAAAAAAAACCCACAAAACAAACAAACAAAAAAATCCACACCAATATTTAAAACTGCTCTAAATTGCACTTTCCCCCACATAAATCCATCTGGAGCTCCTTTCATGTTATTGGTTGTGAGTCACAAGACAGTGTCAGCTCTGAAAGGGATGCTGAAGAAAACACTGCTGTGCACCCAGAGGAGCGAAAGGACTCTCAGATTATGCCTTCTCTGGCATTGTATTTTGGTTAAAGAGTTGTTGGCCTTTTAAACAAATCTGGTGGTTTCCACTTCAGTTTGCACACTAGAGCAGACTTGGAGCTTTGATACCTTCAGATGAAGCCAAAATGGAAAATCTGCAATTGCTAAGGAGCATTCAGTGAGTAGGTCCAGTCCAGATCGCCTTCAGAGCACGCCCCTCACAGTGCAGAGCACTGAGCACCATCAGCTGCTGTGTTCCCCTGAACCCACTGGACCACTCTGCTCTTAACACAGCCAGGTGTTTCCACCCATAGTTCTCTCAGCCTTGGGGAGGCATTAGCTGACCTCAAGTGCTGAATTTATGCGAGGTTTGGAATTTATCAGCTAACTGAGCCAGCTGATAGCAGTGCAGAATGCTTGTAGACTGCTGACATAATCTGAGTGTCAATGGACAATGTTTCCATGCAGATGCTACAATGTAATAGCCAAAGGTGGAAGGAGGAATCAAGGAAATGAATGACAGCAAGAGTCCTGTCTTTCTTATTCCAAATAAAAAAGCAAGTATTTTTCTCCTAAGAAGTGACAGCTTTCAATGCTGAAGAGGGCATGGCAATGTTTATTACTAGACAAGTTTAAAAGTAGCAATAGAACCATGTAAATTATTGATTTTGGGGTTTACCTAGGAGGTAGAACTAGAACATGCATTTCAGGGTAATGTTCAACATCAAAGCTGAAGAATGTGGGGAGATCAGCAGGGCTGCACTGAAAGGAGGGATCAATGTAAAGAAAATTGAACAGTCAGAGATGGAGCAGTTTGAAGGTAGTGAGAGTGTGACAACACGTGTAAGTCCTGGAGTGTGTTTATTGGCCAAACAGTGTCATGTACAACGAGTCTCACTCTAAAGAACAGAAACCAGAGCTAAAGACTTAGAAGTTTGTGTACAAAGAGGTAAAATGTAAAAAAAAAAAAATCTGTGAAAGATATGGAAAAAACATGTTTTAAAGAATTCTGTGTTCAGTAAAGAACTATTTCAATTGAGTATTTTTGTACTTGTAATTTGTATTCAAAATGAGATTCTTCAACAACTTTTTCAGCATGCTCAAAGGTCTTTCATTCTCCTGTGACCTACTGTGTTTAGCAGCACACTTGAATAGCCATGAAAGCAATAGAAATAGAATAGTATTTTTCAGGTTGGAAGGACTCAAGAGGTCTCTACACACAACTTCTGTTTCTTCAGCCTTTTGATCAAGTTGCTTAGGGCTCTGTTCAGTGGGGTCTCCAAGAATGGAAAGTGCACAGCTCTCTGGGCAACTGTGTCAGTGCTTGATTGGTGTCAATTTTTCCCTCAAATCAGAATGCCCTCTTGTTACTTCTCATCCCGCTGCTGTGAACCTCAGTAGAGAGTGTTGCTGCATTTTCTTGGTAATCTCAGTCGCTGGAAGAGAACTCTCGGGTTCCCTTTCAAGCCTTCTGACTGAATGCAATTTCCTCAGCCTTTCCTCACAGGACATGTGCTCCCACCCCCAACTTGAGTGCCCTCAGCTGTACTCACTACAGTTTGTCAACTTCTTTCTCATAGTGCAGGCCCCAGAGCACAATGTCGTTTTCCAGACGTGATGTAACAAGTGCTGAGTAAAGAGGACTAGTACTTCTTTTGAGCTGTTGGCTACATGCCTGTAAAAACAACCTAATATATCTCTATAAAGGTAGCCTTGCTCACCGCTGTGGTGTTCTGCTCACTTATGTTTAGCTTGGCTCCTGTCAGGCCAAGTGAAGTGCATGGCTGGGCTTTAACTGCCCTGACACTCTCACCTGGCACGTGCAGTGCTGTAGGTTTGCCTGTGCCAAGCCCAGTCTCCTCTCATCATGGCTCATCAGTTGTCCTTCCTCAATGGTCCTGTGTAATATATAACATTGTCTTCAACCCTTTCTCCTTTACTCTGACTCTGTCTTCTACTGTTTCTGGCTTCACTCTCTGTCTGGACTCTGAACATGACTCATTATCTTGCCTTGTCTTGGACTCTCAAGAAGACCTGTCACTACTCCAGCCCTACCCAAATCCTATGGAACTGCACCCTGATTGGTGAGAGCACTGCACTGCCTGTCCTGTGGTCAGCCTCAGCTTATTCATCCTCATGGAGTGGCCCTGTTCATCCTGTTCATTCTGTCCTTGCCACAGTCTACCAGGACCAGGTTCCTACTTCAGTCAGACTTCAGTCTATACTGCTGTGGTGGTTATTCCATTTTAGGTAAGGTATGACATCCCAGGATCCATCTGCCTGTTCCCTGATTAGGCATAGTGGTTTGATCAGTCTGTACCTATCCCTTCTGCCCTGAAGTTGCCTATTTGGGCACACTTTAGCATGTTTGTTAAATCCACTGCTCTTTCACAAATGATATGATTTGTGCAGACAAAATCATGCATTTTGCCATATCATCATCAGGTATATCTTGTCCTCATTTTGAGTGGGAGGACTGAGTGGAGTAATCTTCAGTAAAAATTACACATTCAAGCAGTCACATTTTCTCTCAGCTATATTACAATCTTAATGTTCTCTTGGCTAGTCTCAGAAAAGCTGATTGTTCATTTCTCTAGTCAGAGTGAATGCTGAAGCTATTTCTGCTGATGGCTAAAAAAGATGCATCACATTGTTCCTTCACGCTTTCCTCTTTTGTGGTGCTAATCCTCTTAAAATAGTTCAGTTTTGGACTCATTGCCAGAAAAAGTGTTGTTGGTAGTGCAGCCTGGGCTTCCTGCTCTAGTAGTTCTTCTCTACTTTGTTTTTTCCCACAGCTGAAACCAGCCAACTACTGCCAATTTGGGCTAAAGATGAAAATGTTAAGGGAAATGAAACATTTGATTGTTTAAACCAGTCATGAATTTGGGTTTGTTTTGAATGTGTTAATCAGTCCTGTGCACACATACAATGAAACTAGCAAAGATCTGCTGTAGTCAGGAGCATCTGACAAAGTCTAGTGCAAGGAAATAGAAGTGACTGAACAGTGAGTTAGATGAGGTAAGGAAATCACAGTCAGTAGGGAATTGGATTTACTAGTACAAAAGCACAATGACAACTGCAATCATGCAAGTGGCAAGCTTGGTGAGGAATTAATCTTTCATCACTGGTTAGGTAGAAGCTTTAGAAACCATCTTCTCCTATCAGGACATATATCTTGGTTTATTTTCTGTGCTTGATTTCCTAAGATGTTCCTAGGATTGATTTCCAGCAGTGTTCAAGAGATCTCTTCCTACATAGCCTGCACTTTTTTTCTCAGTAGACCTCATTTCTCTGGCAAACATCCAGTTTGCTCCCTTTCCCAGGCTCATTTTTCCTAACATCTACCCTGACTGCATGGATTTCTGCTGGATTTCCTGTAATAAATTCCTGTAAATAAATTGCAAATAAGTTCTGCAATAAATTCCTGCAATACTTCCTGATTTATCACTGTCTTTTCATCAGTGCCTAGCAGAAATCTGTTCAGAGTACTGTTTCCGGTACTCTTCCACTTGTGGTGGTCTGTGATGCTCATTTCCAGTGACACACAAAATCTCCCACCAGACACTTCAAAACAATTCAGATTAAATCCTTCAGACACCCTAGACTAGGTTGGCTAGACTTCCATAAAAATGGCTTCAGTCAAGTTACCTGGGCACAGTAAGTCACTATGCCCCTCTGGAGGAAAAGCTTCTACCAAAATTACTGTAAGCAAATTTTATAGCACTGCCCAGTGCTGTTGGTCACTTGCTCTCAGTTTATTTCTTACAAAACAGCAGTAAGCAGTGCTGCAAAGCTGGATTGCTCATTCAAGTATTTAATTTCAGGTTCTCAGTTTTGTTAAGAATGGAATTTACCTGGGAAGAGGCAAAATGTTAGGTATTTATGTGAGCAACCTCCACATTGCAAGACTGGGTCTTACTGGAAGCAAGATTCAAACCAATTATTAACTCTATTACACTGGAAAAGATACAGGGGCTAAGAATGAGGTTATAGAGAATTTGTGTGTAGTGTATTTGTGTGTGAGCAGAACTTGGTGACACTCACTGTCAGAGCAGTGAACAGTCACAGTGGCCAGGAGCAGCCACAGCACACAACAAGCATCAGCTGAGCTGCCGCAATAGCAGCCTGCAGAAGGGGAATTCAG